TCTCCCTCCTCCATGAATCTGAGTGATGTAGAAGCCCAACCAGCCTCTTTGATAAGAGGTCAGTGGGAGAATTGAAGCATTCCCTTCAGGTCCTTCCTGTGATTCCGTGAAATCACAACTGTTCATGGCTGTTGGAAATGTATTGATGTATACAATACCATTATGGATATATTTGTTCATTTGTTTTGGAGGATCAGACGCTTGAAATGAAAGGGGGGGAATGAAAGGAAGAAACACAAACAGAAGCAAGCATTTCCCACTTAAAGATAACCAGTTTTCCTTTGCCCTTCCCCTCCTCCATAACCTCTGCTTTCTTTGTGTGCGCAGAGGAAAGGGGATCAGAATTGCAAGAGTCACCTTCAGAAAGCACCAGGAATGCCAAAATAATTGAAAATTTCCATTTCTTAGACTGTGATCAAAATTGGGCATTATTAGGAAAATGTTGCTTCTATTTAAGTCATCTGGAAAGAAAACAAAGCAAAACCCCTATGCTCAGCTATAGGTAGCTGCTCTACCTATAGGCAGCTATATAGGCAGTGGTGCAATGTGAGGGTCTAGTCAATAAGCTGAACGATTGGGAGCAAATCTGTACTGACAATCAAATAAACACATTTTATATCTTAATTTGTTGTTGTTTTGGAGCTCTGGCAGAGACTGTTCTCTCTCTCAAAAAAAAAAAAAAAAGGCTTATAACCTTTTTTTCAATATCTTTCACTTTTTTTTTTTTTTTTTTGGTGATGAGAGAAAATATGTATATTTTTTGGTGATGACAGAAAATATTCCAAACATGCAAACAGTTCTGCTTTTTCTTTGACAAAAGGTACTTCGAAATGAAACAAAAGCTGGAAAGCATGTTTCAATAACTCGAAAATAAATGGTAGTAAAAAATGTAATTGTCCCCAAAGCTGCAAACACTATAAATAAGTTAAAGTTAAATTTATGGCACCTACAAGCTTATTAAGTATACAGAAGCAAACCAAAGGCTGCTAAATGACTTTCGCTTCACCCTGTAGTAGCGCTAAGCAAATTTAGTTAGGGAATAATGATGTTTGTAGTCCTAGATTCATTTGCCTAAAAAAGGAGCTTACCTTATTTTTTCATTCTTTTTAAATCTCACTCTGTCGTGACTTGTGTTATACAGAAAAAACAAATCCCTGCTGTAAGTGCAGACTTCAGCTCGCCCAGTGAATGGAACCTCCTTAATTTCAAGAAAAGTGAGGATAATAATCAATTGAGTGTATTAAATTGGAGAAAAAGAGCATTTTAAAGACCTTTCTTGTTCCATACATACTATTTAAAAGGTTATATCTGCTTTCAGTTTTTATGGAATATTTTGTTATGTATTGCAGCCTAATTCCTTTAGAATTACTTTTCAACATTTCTAATTTAAAATTTGTGCAAAAAGAAATTTCGTTTCACATGTAAAATGAATACTTCATTTCTGAGACCATGCGAGCTGAAGCAGATTTATTTCTAATAGAATATTAGCCAGCTCAGGTTGAAAGGGCTCATCTACCAGCTCTAATAAATAGTATTTTTCTTTGTCTAATGTGAGTGCTCTTCCTTAGTAAGTGTACCATGTAAGTATGGTATAAATATCTTTTTTATTTCTTTTTCTTTGTGTGGAGTCCTTATGGCAGAGCCCAACCCCAGTGAGCGCTGCTGTTGAAGCCTCCGTGTCCGCCTTGGTCTGGTGTCGTGCTCTCCTTCAACCTTGGCGTCTACCATGATGTCTGTGTAGGAAACCAGGTACCTGCTGTACCGCTTGCTCCTAGTGGAAGACAAAAAATCCTCCAAATTGGGGTTTGCTGGGTTGAACAGCGGGTGACCCCGATGCCTCTTCATTTCCAGGGTGAACGTGCAGGTCGGCAGGGCTCCGCGTCCCACACACTGGTGTCCATTTTGATTCCCCCAGTGCAGTTTTCTCTGGTCGTGTGGCGAGGGCCCTCGCTAGAGACCATGAAAGTGCCAGGCAAGTTTCGTGTTCACCTCTGGAAGCCCCGAGGGCCCCTGTGCAAACCGCAGCACCAGCCCAGGCCGCGCCAGGGCCCAGAGCGGCCTGCGGTGCTCCAGGCCCAAGCGGCCTCCGGAGGCGCCTCTGGCAGCGCCGGGAACCCCCTTGTTCCGCACACAGGATCTCAGCCCCACGCGGACTCTATCCTTCGCAATTCCCTCTGCTACACCTAGGGAAATCACTGCTGCTTTGAGCTGCTTCGCATCTTTATCAGGATAACCAAGTATTAGAGCAGCCTTTGAACCTCACTGGAAAAGGTCTGGTTTTTTTTTTTTTTTTTTTTCTGAGAATATTCTTTATGGTTTGTTTAAGGTTATCAATTATGTCTCAAATAAAAAGCTCTCTACAGATGATCATTGTGCTGTACTTTGAACTCATTTAACTGGACATTATTTACAGAATATTTGTCTTGGTTATGGCAGTTTTTGTCACACAGCGATATTACTTTTCCATTATATACTGCATGTGACTACCACATAAGTTTGATAATAAATGCTGGGAAATAAAAAACAGAGTAAGTGCCTCAGTATGATAGCAATTCCCATGTGATGGGAAATAATGTCATAAACTTCAAATTATCTTTTAAATAAATGTTTATGTCCAACCCATCCATTAGAACGTAGCCTGAAGGGTCAGGACGATCATTTCTTCATATTTCACCGGGTGCATTATGATTGCTTTTTTAGGTGTAAATGATGTTTTTAAATGAAGAATGGCCTCCCGAGTGTCCCCAAGCACAGCCTAGACGTTACCGAGGTGCAGCCTGGTAGAAACGGCTCCGACCGCTCCGCTAAATATAGAAGCGCAGCAATAAATTGAATTCATTCTTAGAAAATATTTTTAATGGTGCATGTGCTGAGAAGCGCCGGCAAGGCGGCTCCTGGCGTCATTCCTACATGTGGCAACTTTGGCGTTTCAGGAGTCTGGATTCCAGCCGTCCAAGCTGGCAGAGCTTGGCTTTGCTCTGTGTGGGAAGCGGGAGAGATTTGGGAGCGTGTCCGGAGTGCGGCGGCGCCTGCCCTCGGCCCCGTGGGATTTCACTTACTTACATGTGTTGTGTCCCTCAGCCCTCCTTCCTTCCTGAGAGTGGGGAACATGTAAAACTGGGTTTTAAAATAAAACTGGTTAGTAATGTATCAAATTATCCATGCCCAGAGCAACTTCTGCAGCCAGGGCTTGATCTAATTGTGTAGAACTGGTCGGCTGCTGCATCATTTCTGGTGTCCTCACTGTTTGCCTAGAAATGCTGGGTTAATTTGGTAGCATTTGTGCCTTCCTGATCCCGTTTAGTTTATGGAGATCTCTAATCTTTCCCAAGCGAGCCGGGGTGGAGTGGGCAGATCCCGCCTGCCAGGACTGATGGATTTTCTTCAGTAATGAATGGAAAAGCCCCGTGTTTCATAGTGATAGTTTAGCTGACCTGACACGAATATATGTGACTCAGGGTATTTTTTAATTTATTTTTTCTTCTGAAATGCTTGGCCTGTGAAGAACGGTAGAGAATAACTAAGGTAACAACCAAGAGCAAGCAAGCTAGTGCAAGCGTGCGAAAAGCATTCCTTGCAAATAGGGAAAGTCTTCGTGTAGAGCGTGGAACAAATTATCAAACACACAAAGCAGATGGATGCAGGTAGCAGCTGCATTAGGGGGTGCTGCTCGCTGGCAGGAGGGGCTCAGTAAAACAGGTTCAGCACTTTGGTTTGTGCACCCGCTGCAATGAGAATCAGGGCCCCTCTTCACGTTAAACAACTTTGTTCTTAAATGTTTCCGACATCCTCTATGAAAATAAGATTTTATCGCACATGATATCTTAGATTTTTTTTCCAGCCATCCTACAGATGGCACTTAGGTTGCAGCTATATTATCAGTGAATAAGAAAACAGGCCGCAGCTTTTCCACGGCACGAAGTCTTCAGACTATTATTTCGCTAGCCTGAGGCAAGAGGCTGTGCTCTTAGTGCTCATCTGTGTGAAATGAGTGATCGGAGACAAATGTGTAACCGCACTGCGTGTGCAATATGTCCACACAGTGCGGACCAGCCCATCTTGCTGTACCACACAGGCAACCAGATCTCCCTTTTGGAATATAACCATGCGTTAGAAAGGATAATTTTATTACGTACTCAGAGATTTTTCTGCACGTAAGTGATTCTAAAAGCATTATGACAACAACGTGGTACATGGGGGTCTGTGCATCCCATTAGAATCAGATTTTTTCTACCCTGGGAAGTTGTTCCTGCTAGCAGGGTTTTCTGTTACATAAACAGATTTTTTTATTTTTACGTGAATTCTGTGCATGAGTGTGACTGAACATACATGTTCACAGAGCAATCTATTTTGGAGTGTTAACATGGCTTGCATTAGTGTGTGTGATAGCTTGAATTTTCCTTCCATGCCAAAGCCCTTTAAGCAGTGCAAGTGTCAGATTTGGGGTTTTATTCTTTACTGATGTCATTCTTCATCCTACCTGCCCCACATTAGGGAGGACGCCTTGTGGTTTTGCTGTTACAATGAAGAGAAACGATGCATTTATCAACCAGAATCCACATGGACGAGCCCAAGGGCTCAGTTGCCTTGAGCTTGCAGAGTTTGTGTGTTCAGGGCCGGGCACTGGTCTCAGTTACTCCCATGCAACCCCATTAGCTTCAGTGGGTTGCACAATTCAGAATGGGGTTCGTAGAAAGCAGAGCAATGATAGGGGAAAAAGCAAACTGCTTGAGAAACGAAGCTCAAAAATACTGTTTTACCATATCTAAGAAGAATTGTACATGCAGTCGTAATTAAGCTTTTGAATTCATTGAGCTTTGCCAGTACATGTGCAGAACAGAGCAGGCAGCTGCCCAAAGATCACCGCAGCCTCGAGGAAAGCACTTCCAGCCCTAGAAATGCCAAACATGCAGATCTTAGGTCTTTCGTAGCCTCCGTTGCACAGTTGCTGTTAGCCGGGCTCCAGCCAGAGTTACAGGGTGCCTCTTTTCCCCGTGCAGGAGCTATGTCGCCAGCGCATGGCAGTGAAGACGTCGGAGCGGCCGGAGCCCCTGCACGCCTCCCGCCTCAACAGCGTCTCGTCGCAGTTCAGCGATGGGCCCGTCGCCAGCCCCTCGGCCCGCAGCAGCACCTCGTCCTGGTGCGAGGAGCCTGTCCAGTCCAACATGGACATCTCCACCGGCCACATGATCCTGGTAGGGCACTGCGAGCCCGCGCCGCGCGCGCTGCCGTCCGCATCCACGGCGCCTCTAAAAACCATTCCCTCTGAAAGGGGAATTGCCATTTTATGCAGCAAAATATTGCTCAGCTCTCCTATTAATCTCAGCAGTATGCAATTAAGGCTAAAGGGGTTTTTATTTCTATTTCTTTTTCATGAGACTGTTTGTTTTCTTCTCTGGGCAACGTCCTTTTGTACTGGGCACGTGAATTGCTTGTGTGCTTGCTTTAAAAGAGATGTGCTTTGTCCTCTTTGTCCTATGAATTTGTGTCTAACTGAGCTTGGACAACTGAAGAAAACTGCTAAGCTTCTCACCAGCTTGCTCTTTTTTCACGAGCACCTTCAGAGGCCTGAATTTGGGCTGAGAATGTGACAACAGAATATCAGTAATACCAATTATTTCCTTCTCATTACAGTTAGAAAGGGAGGGATCTGAACCTTGAACGTAGCTTGGGTTTTGTTTTCCTTAGTTGTTTCTTTTTTTCCAAGCAGGATCTCTTCTTATGTTTGGAATGATACAAATACAGCCTATTAATGGAGTCTGCATAGGAAAGCTTGGGTTGCTTCCAAACACGACTTGAGATCAGTATCAGTGCAGGAGATGTGAATATCTGTGTGTATTTATGGCATGGCTTTAGCTACACGGAAGGGGCTGAGTTGAATGGTTGGGCCTGGCTGCAGCCTGTTTCTGCCTCTCTCTCGCTGTTAGTGTCCTGTCAGGAGAGCTCTGGTGGATTCTCCCATTTCTTTGCCTTATTTTCCACTCTTTGAATAGAGGGGATCATATTTGTGTTCTCTGACAGGTGCATTGAAACTGGCTAAGGAGAAATTAGGTGATGGGAAGATGATGAATCACGTTACTATTTTCCTTCCTATATTTGACTTATATTTATTAGGATAGTTAATCTAAAGTAAACATAGTGCTGCCCTGCTTTTGGAAAGCTCAATATTTATTATTTGTATACCTCTGAGAAGACTCACTAGTGAAATTTCTCATGAGGAGGTTTCTTTCTAGCATGTTATACTTTGGAATCATATTTCTTCTCCTTTCTTCTCTTTTTTTTTTTTTTTTTTTTTCTGAATTTATATTTGAAAGCACTTTCTTCTCAGGTATTTTTTGAGTTCTTATAGCCATTCCGCCTAACGGAGAATGAAAGGAAAGAAGGCAAAATCCAAAGAGCTATCGATCTCAGCTATTCGATCTCAGTCAGGCTCCTGACCTCCTTCAGTCTTGGTCGGGTCAGCTGTAAAACTGAGCAAAAGCAGGAAACCAGATGTTTCATCCCAGGGTATCTTCCTGAGTAATCTTCCTATTCTCTTCCCTCACAAAAAGGGTAAATTAAATACTGTTTTAAATACCAATACACAGATGCATGTTTAAAGGGATGCTGCTACAACAGAGAATATTACTTTCCTTACTGCCCCACTTTTGTCTAGGCAGAACTAAAGCTTCCTAACCTGATTAGCTCCCACATTTAACTAAAAAGGTTGAGAAAAATATGTAAGAGGTACTCCAATTGGCTATCCTCAAAATAAGTACACATTCCTGTGGTAATGCTCCAAGACATCTTTATATGAGAATAAGAGCAAAAATTCCTATGTGGATGGAAATACACATTATCATCTGTGAACAAATCTTAACATTTCAACTAGTTTAAATGAAACAAAATTCTTTTCAAATACATTCTTAAGAAAAAAATACCCAAATTTGAGGGAAAATTTCACATGGGAAAGCCTTCACAAGCCCTGAGTCTGGAAGCTTCTTCAGAGTTGCAAGAAAGTCATATGAAAAAGTGATGTATTTGCAAGTTAGACTTCAAAAAAACAACTAGATTGGTCTGGAGCACTGTTATGGTTTTCAGTGTTTGTAACTCAGTCAATCCTGGTTAACCCCGAATGAACCCCTACATATGGTAGCTATCTAACAACATATGTTAGATCTTAGATCATGCGAGTTCAGGGAAGGGTGAAAGAACTGCTGTAATGGCCGGAGAGTACAGCCTCCATAGGGAGAGTAAAACCAGCTAATTTGTTTAGTCTAACCTGAACAAACAGAAATCAGTGGTTCACGGAAGTTCGGGTACGTTTTTTGAAAGATGGGATGGAGAAAAATTGTTCATAATGGACGGGAATGATGCAATTAGGAGGAGAACACAGGTTAGAATCAAAGGGATGCATTTAGCGTGGGTATGAGGCCGAGGCTAATAGGAGGGTCAGCAGATAGTGGGGTGGTTTACTTGAGGGAAGTCATTAAACCTCATGCTCCAGATCTCCTTATGGCAAAGCGAGGTTAAGTTTCCATGGGAAGCTGAGCATCGTGCGCTGGAGCCCCGGAGCAGATGATTGGACTTGATGAGGACAGCCTGTTATTTCTTGTCACCTTGGGGCACACTGGCAGGCAGCCGAGCCCGGAGAGCTGACCCAGTTTATGTTTTGCTCAAAAATAAATGTACAGACCCATAATACCTTATTTACCCGAATTTCTCTCTCCCTTAAGAAACCTTGTGGTTTGTTTGAGTTCAGCAACAGAAAAGGCCTTACCAGGGGTGACCTTATCTTCCACCGAGCTGGCTGCTAGAAATGGAGGGAAGCAGGAGCCCCCGCAGGGCTTTGAGACACCTTCCATCCGGTGGAAGTTCTGCAGTTCTGCAGTCCTCCTACCTTGCAAATTCCTCCTTCTGCGAAAGGTGTCTTCACGTCTAAAAAGCCACCAAGAAATGATAGCAAGGGGCTCTAGCAAGAGTGGCCAGTACCACCTGCTTTGCAGGGTAAATGTTCTTGCTGCTCTCTGACCTGTTTCTCCCTCCCAGAGAGTGCAACAAGGTGCAGCTAGTGGAGTTGGGGCTCCTTGCTGTTCCTAGATGCCACCACCGCCTCCCCAAAGGAAAAAAAAAAGGCGGATGGATGTAAAAAGGTGGTAGTAGGAAACAAACAGAGTAAATCTTGAACAGGAATAACCCTGAAGGAATGTATTTGCAACTGCTGAGTGGCTCTGTTTAGTCCCTTTCTTGCTTACAGGTAGAGCTGGCCAAAAAAATCTCTGTAAAATCTCTTTAATTTGTTGGAAAGTGCTTGCTGGTAGAACAGGAGAAATGAAGTGCAAATCACCTCAGCTTAGGGCTCACTGGAGTTCGTGCTTAGCCACAGGTCCTTCCAGCTCAAGGGAGCTGGTGCTTTGGGAAGTCGCCCCAACTTTTGTGTTATTGGAGACTGGAAGGAAACTGGGATTCATCCAAAACCAAGTGACTGTGAGGCAATCTTAGACTCAAATGTGGTTGAATAAGCTAAAAGCATTTTTTTTTCAAAAATCTATCTTTAAAGAGAAAACCCCTGCCTATCTGCTGCTTTGCTCTTCAGCAAAGATGTCTCCGTGCTGCTGACAGCAGCATGAGGTAGTTTCACTGTTAGCAGTTGAAAGAAGGGAGGACTCAGGAGGCCCAGAAGGATGGCAAGAGCAAGATACATGTTCTTTTTTTTTCCTTTTTCACATTGTTTTTCCTCACATTTAGAGCAGGAGGACAGCCCATATGGCACCTTATGATGCTGCCTTTCTAAAGCCCAAGCACTTTGCAGAGTGTAATTGGAGGAGCACGTTTTCTGCAGTCATATTTGTGGCACCGAGTGGCCGGTTTCAGTGTGAACAACAACAACAAAGAAGTGCCCTGATTTTGGTTACCATTAATTTTGCAAGAAAATGGTTGTTGTCTCTGAAGGCTACAGCAAAGGAAAGAGTAGGAAATCAAGCGTAGATGCCTATCCACTTTATTCACAGAAGTACACCTATATTTCAGGAGCCAAAAGAAGTCCTAATTAAGTGCCTCCCTTCCCATTAAAGGTCAGCAAGAGAATTGGGGAGGTTTGAAGGAGCCTAGGAGAGACTCAGTGTTCCTGACTTTGGCTCCTAATTTACACCCACATTTTAGGCACTTAATGAAGTGGCATTTCTGGAGTGTGTCCTTAAATTCCCTTTCTAGGCAGTGAAGAAAGTGGGCAGCTCCCAAGGTCTCCTGATCATCAGGCACACATGGGATTTCTGTTAGGTGGCTGGTGCGGTGCCTACCCCTTCCCACTGATGAGGGGAGCAACTTGGATGAAGAAAGCTCTTCATGTGGTGCTCAGGCTCGAGTCAGCATGTCAGTTAGATTGGGTTTCACCTCTGCTTGATACATTTCCGTACCTGTTGGGTTAAGATAATAATAATCTTTTATGAATTTTCAAATGAAGAACTCGGCTGCGCGAAAGGAGTGTATGCTTTTGATGATAACGTGTTGAGGCTGTTATCTGAATACCATATATGAGATGGGATTTGCAGAAGCAGAATTGATTTTCTGTGTTTTGGGTTTTTTTTTTCTCCTCTGCGAAGACAGACATGCAAAATGTTAACCATTATGCATAAATTAGAATTTCAGAAAGAACGTGAATTTCAAGAAGATCCTTTTCTCTAGCTGAGCTGGGAGCCTGCGTGGTTTTCTCCCTGAGGGTATGAAACTAATGTGTGTACTGGAAATAATAACAATAGCCTGTGGTAATCTGTGCCTACAATATTTTTTGGAAAGGACTAGGAAGTTTTGTAACTGCTGGAGGAACCAGGGGGAGCAAATGAACAGGAGACTCAAATCTTGGGCTTCACAATGTACAAAGTGTAAGCCTGCTTGATCTCCTTGTCCTTGGCAACATTCCTGCAAAACCAAAAGGACTTTCTGCATAGGGAAATCTTTGTTACAATTTCCATGTGTTTGATTATTTAGGGGTTTTTTTCCCCCTATTCTTTCTTTCTACCACCACAATTTTCTTTTTAGCGCTGTATGAATTCAGAGATTATAAATACTGTTTAACTATAAAAACTCTTTTAAAAAGCTTACAGCTGAAAAAGAAATCCTCTCTAACATGTCAAGGGAGAAAAGTCAGTAGCAAAGTTTACTTAAAAGCATAAATTCCTTACAAATGTGCTAAGTGCATCTAAATCCCAGCTTATTT